CTTAGTGTTCTTTCAGCGATGTAAAGAGTCGACCGAGTTCCATTTTGATGATATCGACTATCAGTTGAAAGTTATAGAAGATGACTTCGTGAGGAGTGCTCCTGGTGATGCTATTCCCATTCGTGAAGGAGATTTCTTCATTACGAGACATTCCAACTTGCCATTGGTTCATATTGTATTTCATCTGGTGATTGATTTTGAATGTAAGGCTTCATTATTGTATTGGTTTCTGATTTTTATCGATTTATTGCACTACTAATTAATACAAATCGGTTATTCAGCAATCGAGAGATCAGAAATAAATCAACGATCTCCCGCGATCGCGGGGCTCCGCAACATCCTTCGTACTGTTGATAGATTTGATATTACTGCCATCTCAATTCCCTTTCTTCTACTACCATCCAATGTCGATGTATTTGCCGATTTATCAGTCGATGAGAATATTTTATATAAACGGGGTGAGTTAGTGCTGAAGTGTACTAAGGGATTTATGATAGAAAATTCCCGTACTCCAAAACACGTGACTGAGAAAGAGCATGAGACTAAGACTGTTCAGTTTCTGTTGCCGAAGAGTGCTAATGAACAGCAATTTCAAAACTTTAGATATTTATTGACAAGCATATTTAAGACCAGTTAAGGATGATTTTGTAATATACTGTAGCAGACATTGTATAATAATAATAATAAAAAAAAAACGTTCAAATAATTTTATGTTCCAAGAATATACAAATGAGTATTTGGATGTTGTCTAACTATATATATATGGAGGAGAGAAAAAAAGTCTCTGAAAGCGGACAATCCTGGTGTTCTGCCTTAATATTAATACATATTTGTGTCTCTTGTGTTATCAATGAGACGTGCATTTAAAGTGACAATCTGGGTTTCTTCGGAACGCGACGACGTTCTGTGTTTAATCTGCGAATCTGATTGCGATGATGTACGTTGCGATTTTTTTGCTTGCGCCTTCAGCATCACTGAAGTTGCATGATTGCTATTGCAGAAATTTCCAATTGAGTGGAACTTCCTCAGGCTTTTTCAAATCTGTGTTGTCAAAATCCTTTTTTTTCTTTTTTTCTTTTTTTCTGCATATTAATATGATGCCATCTAAAATGACCGTGTAGTCCACAGGACCAAAGCCATGGCTCCCATCAAGCTCATCTTCAGCCCTAAGCACAAGAAGTGGTTCATTTACTTGTAAATGCTTTACAGCTATAGTTAAGAAAGGGGAAATGCGTTCAAATTCATTCAAGCCCAGGTGAGGGGCACTGTCACAACTGTTTTTGTGCAAGATGTTCTGGGGGACATCATGCAGGTGTATTATGTATGCCTTCCCTGTATGGAAAGACTGACCGTTCATTTCTGTCATTGATTGGAACCCGCTCTCCCATGTTGTATGTCGACTTTATACAAGCTCTGGTCTTCGCGCGACCCTCGGGTCTGTCGATTCCTCACGTTTTAGAGTACTTATTCCTTTTAGATCTGTACGCGCCCTCAAATTGACCAGGGGATATTCTCAAAATTTAGCTATAAACGTGGTCTTGCTTACACGCTCGCGTCAATTAAGGCATAGCTAAAATTTGCAGGCGGCTCTTTATACCTCCTATTGCTAAGGTATAAACTCTCACTCGAATGTTGTACATCGATAATCGAATTATTCTTCCTGTCTTGGTCTGATACTTCAGCGTCCTAACAGCAATAGACACTTCCGTACAGCAACAACGACGCACAAGAATAGAAACATTATTAGAAACACAACTAATAATAATCCTTAGTCGAAGAGTGTATTAATTATAAAAGGGCGATAAATTTGGACACGTCTAATTAAGGATATCCTTATACTCGTTCCTAGTGAATGAGTCCAATCAAAAATCGTGGACGATAATTTTTAATATGAATATTATAATTATTATTTGCTCAACGAACTACAACAATTTTTCAACACGCTCTGACGATGGAATTTTTCGAGCATTTTTATAAGCAGGTAGGGCGCAATTTTTGGGAAGCAATTTCATTGTCACTTTTGTGACAGGACGCAATTTTACAGTACACTTTTTTGGCTTCAGTCAACGGCATCGAAATTCAATAATTCTAACAAACCTGAATAGTTCAACTACTTCATTATTATTACATCATAGATAAGCACATATTAATATATATTATACAGCACAATTTTTTCCCTGTATCAATGCAATGAGTAAACACTTTGGTTGGTCCTGACTATGTGACTGTATAGGAGATCCAAAGCTGGCAACATCCATTTGACGAATCTAAGTTTTGAATAAGAGATTAAGTGATGAAAGGAAGATTAATTCTCAGTATACAACCATCGCATGCTACTAATGAAGAGAACGCAAAGCAATATAAAACGCGTACAGATTTCCCAACTGACAAATGTTATTAGAACGTCTAAATTGTACAGTACACTATATATAATACACGAATTGCATCTACAACACCCTCTGCTATTTTATGACTTTTCCAAAACATTCACCACACCATATTGTCTAAAATACCAACTCAATCGTTAATATTCCATCTGGCAAGAATATGAGGGTGTGCTACTAATTGCACAACGATGAAGCCGTCTACATTGTTCAAAACCAAGCTTTTCAACCAAATAAACCAAAAATACGCCTGTAAAAAGTTCTTGCATGTAAACCCATTACCGATCCTTCTCTATAACTGGATAGAAATACAAATTAATTTTAAATGGTTTGCTATACGGTTTTGGTTTCCTCTTCGTACTGCAGCAATCTTGCAGAAGTGATGGTCGACACATAAGCCTTGACGTAAACTATTACATGCAAGTCTGTACTAATGCAAAAAAAAGTCCGAGAAGGAGATTTGTTTTATCAAGATCATCAGGAACAAGGGCTTGCGTAAATATTTGAATGAGATTACTAATGACTTTACTAATGACTTTACTCAAGGTCTTCATCTAATATTTGGTTTCGGGCTGATCCGTATTGACCCGACCCGTTTAGAGCACCAATCTGTATAAAAACACGGTCAGGTTCGACTCTATTATTGCATTTACAGCTACACTTTTTTACAGACGAGTATATTCTACGGTATGTCTGTAATAAAAAACCGTTACACAATCACGTAAATTTTAGTTACTTTGACCTCTAATACAGTAATTTCTAATCGACTAGTCCCATTTGAAATACAAAGAATTTAGATTTGATTATAACATATCTAAAGTAAAGTTACAGGGTGTTAATTAATAATAGTACTAGATAGAGCAAATGTGTATTGTAACCAGAAAATCTTCATGTTGTGCTCAAAATTACAAAGTGATACATATTACATACATTTCTGTTGTATGCAGGCCAAGGAGATCATCTGGTTGTCACAAACATATAATAAACGTTATGTACAGTAAATTATATTATACATATCACAAGTCACAAAAACACATCTTATCGTGTTCTATTTATTCATGCAGCAACATGGCTATGTAAAGAGTGCTGGCAATATTCCGTCATCTCGAAACTCCCGTATAGTTTTGCAAGACAATTGGATAAATCGTACGGAAATATTATTAAGTTGTTTTTAAATCGGGACATTCATCACATTGAACCTTAACTATTAACACCAATCTCAATGAAGTCGTTTTTTTATTACTTAAAATGCGCTTAATTTTTATTGCATGCAAAAGTTCCCCTAACTAGCGAATAAACGGCACCGTTGCCTAAAGTGTCAAATACCACATCCACAAGTTCGCGCATAGAGGACCAGTTTTACCTGCTTCATGCTTGCGTGTTGAACATACAAATAACATTCATAGCACGTGAAGATTAATCCATTCATTCGTCTTTGACAGCAGCAATGACATGTTATTATGCCACCCCATAGGATTAACAACCAGAAAGTTTACAGATTGTAGAAGAAAATCCACACTAATGATTTTCAGTTAATCGCCTCTTCTGATTCAAATATCAAATATAGATGGTATTCTTCGCTAGAATATCGGTTACATTCCCGGTACCAATCAAGTCTTGTTTGGTGTATTATTGATTTCCGTTTTGAGTAGTTTGTTATGGTGGTACTTCAAAGTAAATTCCTATCACTAATTATATAGACCCTTATTATTATTATTATTATTATTATTATGGCAGCCGAGCATGTTTTTTTAATCTTATTGGCAAAGTAAATATGTTTACAAAATATCATAACGACCCATTTCCCTATTACTATTACTATGATTAGCAAATTACAATTTGCCGTTACTTACAATTTATCGTTGCAAGAACACCGTTCGATGTCGAATGATTTACTTTACGATAAAGGTAAATCTCCGATCTGCCCAGAATAAGCATAAGTCCAAACGAGTTATTAATCATGCTAATATGGAAACTCGTGCTGTTACATGGAGTTGTTGAACGAACCCCTTAACTGGTGCTTTTTCCAGTTGATGTTTCAGTTGGCGTTGGATTTTTTCCTACGCTTGTTTGTATCTCGCTCATTTATCTTCTCATTCAACCAACGCAATCACATATTTTATCTTCAATGCCTCCAGCAATGTCGTTTCCTCCCAATGCATAAGAGTCTCTGTCAAATAAATATAAACTGCATGATATGATCACATAGCGATCACCAAATCCTATTTTGTCGTTTATATTAAAGTTCATATGCTGAACAAATCACGTTGAATCCAAACAAAATAGTACGGGAAAATGGAGAGATGTTCAGGTAACGTGCACCAGCAACACGGCCGTGTAAAGAAGCGATAATGGTGCACATTACTTTGTTTGTAGCGACTAATTAACTATAATTAACAAGTGATACGCAGCAATAACTCATGACTGTAAGATAAATCCATCAATTTTTTTGCTTCATTCCCCGTCTAATTCATCACCTTTCTTTTTTTTTATGCTTACTGTATAAATCTTATTAAAAATCTCGGCGTATATTATTTTACAAATTAAGGTACCATTTTGATAACATAAATACAATTGTAGCATACAGCACAGCTATCTTTTCATGAATACGATATAATGGATAACATGAGTCAGTAAGTAATAAAGATTTTTTTTTCAAAGCATCTCATCAGAAAAGGAATGCCCGTCAAAAGACCTCGTTATCGATCACAATCGCCATAATCTTATTTTCTTTCCCTTTCGTTTAGATACCATATACAGATATGCGTTGAAGCTAGAGATGACATTCTAGATATACAATACACGAAAGGGGCTACCGTCCAGCATGTGTTGGAAACCGCATGCAAGATGCTTGGGATCGATGACTCTTGGAATTATGCGTTGTATAGCAGATTGTTCACACAATGGTTAAGCGAGTCATATTCATGCTTTGAAGAGGTAATTTGGTGTAGAGTTGTTATTATCAACGATCACTCGGTATTGAATAACATATTACCGCAACACAATAGGAGGGGTTATTATTACGGAAGAAGACACCTGAATATTACCGTCTTACGAGTGGATCGGAAGCAAGTATATAGTAATGTGGATGTTATACGAGGTTAAGTGACTGTTGACTAACATTCTAATTATCATTTCTGAAGCCTAATCAATTCTCACAAGGATCAACAATACCTCACTCGCGGAAACGGAGTGTATTCAATCAGAAAACATGTCTTCGAACTCGTCTCCAACCAGAAACCATCTACCTGTCCACAGTTCTCTTCACCGCCGACAACAAGTTACTCATGACAGCAGGCTCTCACTATTATCCGACAGTTGAGATATCACGTGATCCCCAATTATTTTCTATTTTGTCTGATGAATCTGAAGAATTCAACTGCGCTTTCCGCACATCTCTTGACTGGTTAGCTCAACCACCATCATCACCGCCATCGTCGCCGTTACCATCACCATCATCATCACCATCACCATCGGCATCATCATTATCAATATCATCGACATCATCACCTTCAGCAGCATCAGCATCGGCAACAGGAGCAACAGGAGCAACAGGAGCATCATCGTCATCATCACTGCCTTCATCCTCGTCACCATCATTATCAGACCATTCGTCTGACCCGGTGACATCGGATATAACACCAGCTGACAGTGAAAAATTCTGGTCAAACTGTTTCAATCGAGCTGTAGAGAAACTACGCAATGAAATAGCACTCCCACATTTAGGAGTAGTATACGACCATGTTGTAATTATGACAAGCTCAAAGGCAAAATTCATAGTCACCGTCCAATACCTACCATACTCATCAAAAGACGAATTTGCGTCAGATATAGTCAAGTCAGGAATACTCAAATGGAAATCACTCGACGAATTGAATGCTATATACACAAAGGACAGTCACCCGATATGGACCAATTGTTTCTCATTCTGGTGCTCTCGTAAATCAAAACTATCCCCCGGACTATATGTCGGATTGCTCCACACTGAGAGTTCTCTTCAAAGTATGCGTGTACTAGTACAGAAAGATCGCAAGCAATTTATCCCACTGGAAAAGATACGCGACGAAGCGTCAATATCGTCCGAGGAAGCTTCTTGGATAAAATCATTGAGTGGTTTGAATCCTGACGGTTTCGAAAACTTGGTTGATTCTATCAAGGAAGATGCCAAGAATGAAAATGAAAATTCATTGATATTGACAAATTTTCAGCGTGCTTTTGTAGAATCGTATTATAAATTGCAAAGTGATACGAAACTGATGTGGGATTCTGGTGATATTTATGGGGAACACACCGTTGACGTGTACTATAATCAGGAAACAAGACAGATGTTTAGTATTCTGGAGGATTTGGATAAAGGCCAATACAGTCGGATTACAGAAACGGAACCCAGCGGTGCAACTGACTCTGGGGGAAAAGCTGTTGGTAACAGTAATGAGCAAGCCAATGCAAGGGCAAAGATCAAAGAGCATACTTTATTTTCTCCCATGTCAGATATACCAAGCAATACAACCCCAAGCCTAACAGTAACCTCACCAATCCCCTCCGTTGCCGACGAAGAGTCTCAAAGTACGTGTCAAGGACAATCATCCAATCTTCTATACCCTCCACCATCCCAAATCCCAGATCGATCCGAATCTATATCGCAAATACCAAAGAAACCGTTTATAAAGATTATTTTACTCGTAAAACCGATGCGACAACCACATCAACTACGCGATTTATATAAATCAGTGAAATACACCTTTTATCCCTTTTCGCTATTTGATGCGTTACAACATTCGACACTCAACACATCATTGCATTCATCCTCCCGTCGTGCAATGCAGATACTTCATGCGAGTCAAGGATACTTTTCACGTGAACTTGTTCGTTGCTTGCGCGAATGTAACATTACACTTGACAATGCTGAGCCGAACGTTGACGATTGTTTGTTAGATCCACAAGTACTTGGGAGTTTGCCCGACGTTGTGAAAAGCATCAAATCCGCGTTAGATATCATACGCGAAGAAACGATTCTCCTAAAGAATCAATGGCATGCTGCATCATGGTCCATGAGTGTGATAGAGTGGGATCGACAGCGTACGATGGGCAGATACAGTTTTGACCAACCCTCAATAGTTAATAAATGTAGTTTCGGCCGATCGACCTACAATACTCTACGTAAAGGTGCTCAAATGTCCCAGGCTATCGTTCCGGTCGCCAACAACCGTCATACAAGCACAATAGACACTTGTTCGCGCATAGGTTTCCTTCTCGAAACAATGAAACATGCTCCAGATCGTGCATGGAGTCATATTCGCTCGATCAATGCTCCGATACCGATAGTTAGGTTTGGAAACGGTGATACATTTATTACAAAAGCAAAGTTGGATCCAATATTGGCAAACTTTCTGGCTAGTACCCTGTTTATAAGAGTGTATGAATATGGAAACGTGGTCGGACAGAAAGAAGAGGAACGAGATGATGATGCAGGTGAAGTGGATAAATACGATAGTGTAAAGGAGGCTGGGAAAGTGGGAAAGAAGGGAAAGAAGGGAAAGAAGGAAAGCAGAAAAACAGAGACAAAGAAGAAGGCATCCAGGAAAAATATTATGAGGTCTCTTGGATTTGGAAGTGGGAAAAACGGGAATGATATTAATAATGCCAGTGGCGATAGCTCTTCGGCCGAAGAAGTCAAAAAGCCAATATCTAAAGACATGTCAAAAATGAAGATAAACGGTGAACTATCCAAGTACAATTCTACGCAAAGGGCCAAAACTGACGACGCCAAAGTAGATAGGGATACTTTGTCAAAATCATATTTTTCTCCCTTGACCTTTTCGCTTCCGAACATACCACCTCTTTTTCTAGACGATATAAACGAAGATAAGTTTACGAGTCGTCAAAGTTCCGACAACCGTAAAAAGGTCTTTTCCAACATGATATCGACATCAGCAAGCTCCGAATCTTCCAAAGTTACAGAGACGTTGGAAATCCCTGTGAAATATGATAAAAGAGTAGAGCCGGAATTGAGTGGTCGACGCATATTTGATACCGAAGCTCTTAAATTCGATATCACAACTCAGCGGGACTATTTAAATGAGGGATTAAGTGACGTTCTGAGCGGCAGCTCAAATGACAGTTCTGCTCCCGTTTCAAGCCTTTCTTCTACACTCACTCCAATATCCATTAATATCTCTGCCAATCCTTCTGCTCCCGTCCTCGCTATCCCTCCATCCCCTCCAAGCACACTCTCTCCTCCACCGCCATCGCCCACTCCATCGTCCTCCCGCATCCCACCTCCAACTCCAACAGAGGCCAAATTGGCAAGCCCACAACCGACTACACCTACGAACTCGCTAATGGACTATTTTAGTCATACTAAAAAAAAAGATAGGGCACAGTTACCTACACCGTCAAGTTCCATTTCCACAACACCTGATGAGAGAGATGCAATAAATTATCCCAATAGCGACAATGCAATCCAGTCTAACCGTCTTACTTCTATTGGCTCAGCTGGGTCTGATGAACATCCTACTAGTTCTCTTGTACTCTCCTCGCCAACTACCGAAAGAGAAGGTCCCCTCCCTTTCAACCGCACGACAAACCCTCTCGCCATGCAAAACAATAAAATATCCAAATTAAAGCTTAATGTACAGAATTCCAGGAAAACTGGTGGAACTTACTCTAAATCCGCTCCTTCATCGCCTTTGACAAAAGGGTATAAACCAGAGCCGTTTCCGTTTGAGATATCTAGATTAAGGCGGAAGGGAGTAGGTGACATGAATGAGGAAGACAAGTGCGAAAGTGAAAAAATCAATGACAAGATTCAAAATGATCCTCTGATGAAATTTGTTACTCCCGCTTTTCCCACCACATCCTCTTCCGCTCATAGTTTATCAACGCTTAGCGATCCACAGCAAAAGCAAACGCTGCATCCACAGACACCTTCTCCACCTCCACCCCACTCTCAAAAAAGTTCGACATCATCACGCCCGGTAATCTTACGTTCTGGAACGTTATTGAATACTAGCACCAATTCATCTTCATTTGTTTCTATACCACCCCCTCCACGTCCGCCTTCACCGACCTCACTCGCAAAGTTGAAGAATAATAGGGAGGATTTGAGAAAGATTGTTACAAACGAGAAGATTAGCGGAAAGAATGAAATTGAACGGCTAGATGGAATAATCAATGGATCTGGTGAAGAGAAGGGAGAAAAGTTAGAAGGGCTGCCTGATAAATATAGAAGACGAGAAAGAATAATCAGAATGTGGGAGGAAGCATCGTTGGAGGAATCATCATCGGCTTCCAAAGGGCAATATGAGAAATTAACGTCATCGAGTCTACAGGGACAGCAACGAGCTCAGCAACAAACGGCTGTATCTGATCGTTTCTCGTTCAGATCACCCACTTCGCCGACATGCTTTACATCTCCGAATTCACCTACATCGCCGGCATCAAATAGCTCGTCCCAATCGTTTCAGTTGTTTTCGGATGATTCGTCTTCGAACCGAATGTATACTACAAGGGCAAGAGCAAAATCTGTTTCGGAAGCATATCAGAAGAGACAAAAATCTGAGAGAAAATTTAGAGAAAACGTGTTTGCTAGTTAAACACATTGTTCTCTCGTATATCACGATAGTATAATGTAGACTATATCATGTGACTGGATCATGTGGCAATCATTTCTTGTGTATGTACATAGTATGTTTCATGACTGCGTTTATTAAAATGGTCTTTCTTTCATAATAAAGTGAATTATTCAAACGGTGCTCTCTAATAAACTGTTATCTTTACACCTCAGTTTACATAATTCCCCGTAATCCTCCATTTCACTCCGCACCATTCCACTCCACTACTCCACACAACTTTACTCCACAACCGATTGTGTTGTCTGCTTGTATAATGACATCATCGCGCTTACGACAATCACAAGTGCATAATAGACGGATAAACAAAAAGAAACGGGTACATTTATGGGAACCCGTGTCAGTATCAGGTGTCCATACTTACTTATGCTGATATGTATGTAGTTGAAGTGCTTTTTCTTATCTCGAGTCAAGCAGTTGTGGTTGCCTTCTTGTCTGGTCGTCTGAATACTAGACTATTAACGACTCCCGGGTCACATAGTTCGCTTCACCGTATCTGCGCCTCATTCTTTCACCCCAAAATCCGGAAGCTCCGCCTGTGCTTCTTAACTATGACACAACTTGACCCTATCCAAATAAATCCAATACCTGATTCTGTAAGTGATAGTTATGTTTATTGCAGTGTTTATGTGATTATTCTTTTTATGAAACGTCTAAGCCATTTTTTTGTCAATGTCTCTCAGTCAATGAATTGACTCGTATGCATATCTCACATGCCAACAGAACAGCCACGATGCGTGCAGGGAATCTGTGAGAGTCATAAGCAAATATGACGAGACAATGAGGAATAATGTTACGAGTAGATGATAACAAGAGATGAAGAGATGGGGCATAAAACGATAAGAGACAGCAAGGTGTATATCGTGCAAGTATGCCAAAGTATCAGGAGTATCGTCGGTCAGAATAAAGTAACTTGATAGTTGTTGAGTTTGCTGTTGTATCTGCTCTATCTGTATACACATTAATTAATTATCAATGGCGACAACGGTGATGACAATGACATCAACTACAACAAAGAACCTTAATAACTATGATAAGAGCCCTTTACATATGTACGACTATCGTTATAGTAATCAGGCTTTTTGATAAACTTCATTAACACGCAGTAGAAATCTGTCAGCCTTTTTTTGCTCCACGCGTATCATCTGTCACTTGATTTCATGCAGAAAGAAAAATATACTTTGCATTGTAAGTGAGTATGAATGAATTCCCCAAAATCATCTGATTGCGAAATGCTATTCTAACAATATATTAGCATTGGCAATATAATCGTGTTCTCATTGGACTTTTTGTTCGCAAGGTTTACGCACGGGATAATCACTCGCGTGATTTTTCCGAACGAAAGTTGTATTGAGCACGTTGGATATGCAGGTGGGATTATAGTTAAGAACTAGAGATACGCAAGTGCATCGGTAGTTGGGCGTTGAAGTACATTTTTGGTAGTTCGTATAGTATTTATTGTTGTTCTTAATCACATCTTACGAACTCTATTCATGGTGATGTCTCGCATCGTTTGTGTGATAATAGCAATTTATTCATGCAGTTGCGCCGAATATACTGAAATCTGATCATCTACAATGTGACAATGTAATAAAGTGCTTGTCCGACTTGTTGTATCACAATTGCAAAGCTTGCATCTGTTTAAGAGTAAGAGAAAGAGATGGATGATAATAATAAAAGCAACGATGATGGTAGAGGTGACGCATGTTAGTATATTTTTATGTGTCGCAGATAAATGGCCGTCATGCAAATATTTATAATTATCAACAATAACATGTTATTGTGCGTCCAGACACCCTCTATTGAAAATAGCCCATATACTCTCATCTGTTCATGTATGCATTTGTTTATTCAATCTCAACCATTTGTTTAACAACATTAAACACTCACCCTCATTCATACATCATTGTTTATCGGCAGTGTGATAACCACAGCAGTCAATGACCATAATTACCATTGTCCGAGATGGCTACTCCTAATCCCAAAATAGCATCACCCAGTGATCATTGTGTCTTAACAATGATCGATTGATATTAATATGTAGCATTCAAAAGCTGTTGAGCAGCGTGACATTGATGCATGGGACAAGAGTGTGGACAAAGAACAGAAAGTAGCGAGAGACATATGTAAGCGAGGCAAAAAAAGGAATGTGGAATATACTGACTTGTGGTTTGACAATCAAGCCCATCGATTATGATGTAAATATATTAAAGTACTATAAAATATATATATTGCTACTAACTAATATCATTCAATTCCATACCGCATATAGCAAGTCGATAGTGTGAAATCACAAAGTGTAAAATATTGTATGTAAAAATCGGCTGAGAATAAGATGATTACATAAGATAAAGCAGGACTCCTTTATAGTATCATTGTAAACGCATATTATCATATCTCGATCACATAAGCGTTGATAGGACCCTATTCACATGATATGAAGTTTACTAATCATAATAGGCGAACAAGAAAAAGTCGTATGTGTGGAGATGCTATCCGGGTCTGTAGCATCACCTCTCTCCTCTATTCACCCCCACCAAGATCTCCCCTTTGTACTCTGGGGAAGATTGACATAGAGATCTATGCTATACTACAAGTTTTTTACAGAAATGATAAAGTATAGATAAACGATAAGCAATAAACGAATCACAATATCGCATATTCTGTGATTGTAACAAGTATTATAACAATAACTCGGTAATCATTATCATGATCATCTAATTTCTTTGGTTACTGCTAAATATACGTTTGTTCAAATTCACGCGTAAGTTCTCACAGCATACGCACGGCGAAACGCCGCATTTCTTATTTTTTGACAATACTTGTTAAGAGCAACGCCCTGTATTAACTTGCAAACGCCTCTTTCTGTCGGCATAATACAAGTGCATGAAGCTTTATTCTTTAACGTTAAAAATATTCTTTGTTCTTGATTGTTCTGCTAATGTCCCGCTACTTTTTTTTTTTTCCTATTATCCCACACATATGCTACGTCTCATGCCTCCTCACCTTATCGCTATGGGGCGAGTTTTACTTACAAATATTGGAGTGTATACATATGCTTGCATCAATGTTAATCGATTCATTTTGGGCAGTTCATTCGATAACTCGCAGCGAGTAACATTTGCTGATGTTCGCTGGTGATACCATTAATGGTTAGTCGGTCAATAACTACCAAGCATTTCGTTGGCTGATTTTCTACTAACTTTTTATGTAGCAGAGCTACTGTTGATTGTATAAAAGTCATATGTAGCAGAGTTACTGTTGATTGTATAAGTCATATGTAACAGCAAGGCTGTTATGCACATAGAAATATGACTTGGTACAGCATATTAGGCAGGGATCGATAACGCTTCATTTTCAAACGCTCGCCGACATACCCCGTCCTGCAATCTGCACAAAGAGTCTATTGCCTAACGCAAACAAGCAAGCAGAACAGTATAACAATCGATTCAACGGTAGTGCAAACGTCAAATGACATTGATGTACAAGCAAAGTGTAATGTTGATAATTGTTGTGATTGCTGATGAGTAATTGCAATGGGTGATATGCGTGAATGTATGATATACAGTGCATCATCGTTTGAGTGATAATCGCAGTAGATGCTGTTATAACATCAACAAGTAAGCAATCTGGAATAATCCATACGATATTGTTGCGTTTTTCATAGGTCAAAAGATGAGGCAACGGCATCATAGTCTATCACAATAAAGAAAAGATTACTTTGTGACAAATACGTTATGTCTGCTAGAAACTGTATTATGTAAAATGCAATAATATGCAATTTAATGTATTAAGTGGGGGCAAGTTCTCTATCCGATACGGTGACTAGGATGTGATGTTTCGCGTGTTTCATATTTCGCGTGCCCATGTCTTGGTGATTGTTGAATGTGTGCATAGAATACATTATCCTCAATGTCTTGTTATCAAATTACAGTGTTATGATTGTGTTATCCATATGTAGTATTATATTTGTCTATGATACATACATACATAATGACCATAATGTTATTATATTATGTTACACAGTCAACAAACATATTCATTGTGCTCCGTAATAGACATTCAAAGTTTATATTATATACATATGCAACAATGATGTTCACAACAATGGACTCTGCATTCGTTTATTAGTTAACTCAAAATATCATTAACAAACCAAGTACATTCCTCAAATAAGTAATAGTAGCTAGGTTTCAATTGAATATGTTATCCATGAATCCAATCACATATTATATTGTAATACAATGGCGTAGATTATTTATTATGGCGAACTGGAATGCAAATACATATATATGGAATTATAGGATACGAAAAATACAAAAGCAGAATGGATTCTATTCAAATTGGATTATGCATACATAACGCTCACACACACAATTGAATAATCCGCCCGATAGTTACTACACTACTTTTGGCCGCCCATTGCCGGCATTGCTATTGTTTCTATAGGATCTTTTGTTTTAGCCTTTTGTTTGGTCATCGAGAACGTGAAATTTGTGTTCGTGACATTAGCAAAAGTCAAGTCATCACAAACATCCAATTATCCGGGAAAAACCTGAACACATTCAACGGGAAATTTCCAATCAACCGGGAGTAATATAAGAAGACAATGAAACAATAAAACTTACTGGACGCAAGAGGGTCGTATAGAACGTTACATGTAAGACGTCGAGTATCATAAGAATTTGTCAAGAGTTTGTTAACCGTCACCCAGTCTGCCGAAAAGAACTCGCCATTCTCACCGACAATTATCATAAAACTGTATCATGTCACATGTGATTGATTGAAATGTGGGGGAGAGAAAAAGAATACAGGACAATGAGTTGTAATATATATGTATGTGATGTATGTATGTCATCCATATATTACTTTTACTGTTACATATACTCGCATATTAATAGAATTCAATTCACAGTTTTTAAAATAACGTGCAGTCATTCTACCAACGAGAAAGAATTAGCAAGAGGGAGAGCCGTCTTGAACAATATCCTCCTGCACAAATATTGTCTCCACATCTGGATACAGCGCACATCTTAGTCAAATTCGAGCAAAGAGTGGCAAAACAGAGGCAATTACGAAAACTAGAGAAAAGGGGCTGGTTATTGACACATCTGCATACATTTCAACGATAATACTTACACACATTCTCCTGTCCGTATATGAGAGCGATATTGCACAGTAAACAATAAATATCTATTAACCATGTATATTTTAACAGATAGATAAGATAGATAATGAGAGAGATATTAAAAAAACAATGTGAGATATGAAATAAACAAAATATACAAAATATACAATACCATATATCCGATCGTTTATGAATTATACAATGCGCATATTATACTGCCAATCTTATTGATTCTTTGTAGTTGACTTTCATTAATAACAAGGGCTGTTCTCTTCCTGCATATTCATCTCGATTTAAAAAATATATATTATAGTATGCAATACTCATCAGGAAATAAGGAGAATAATAAAGGCAAAGAAACGAACAGGAGTCATCTCTTGCATTATACTTGATACACAGCATATACTACACATCAAAAATATGCATCATATCAACCTAAACCTATTTTATTCTCTATTGATTCCTTCACCTGTCTTCATCTTCGTTCCATTTCTTTCCACATTCTTTTTTTTTTTTTTTACCTCCTCTCTCATCACCTACCATTATAATAATTTATGTATTAATATTAATAAATACAATTATTATTAACGAATTATCACTATTTTCAAAGCCGCAACTTTAAAGAAAAAAAAAATATTGAGAGGGGGAAAAAAATACATAAAATGATCAAGCTCCTCCTCGCTTGACACAACTTCTTCATAGCATAAACTTATCACAAAAGAACTTCTGCTCTGCTTTTGTTACGAGGACCTCCACCGACACACCACCATTAACCCACCTTTCAGTTCGCGCTTCCCTGAAACATTAACATTTCATTTCGACACATACTTCACTTTTTTTAATACGACCCTATTAATCAATATGGCCTCCTCGCAACATTACCAGCAGTATGAAGTTCTCACCCATGTCAACGAAAACACTATGACTACTCGTCCCATGCGAGTTTCACGCAATCGTGAGAACTTGCAACCATACTGGATCCCTGAGGGATTTCGTGCCGTGCTAATCTCAATTAACGACATCCAACGGCTTCCGCTTCAGCAAGCTACTCAGGACCTCCAGCAACGGCAAAATGAAAATACAACCCATCATGTTATTAGGCGTAGATACGCAAATCACAATCAAACCAATCCTATGGCAAGACAAGGACGATGCAATACAGCGACGGTATTGGGTGCAACATTAGACCAGATTACGGTTGCTCGTGCTATCTCTAGCAAGCCTAAACGCAAGGAGCTATCCGGTAATGAAAATGACGAAAATTCTCAAAAGAACACACCTACGGCCTCCGCCTCCGCTTCGGCAAGCACCTCCATAGGTTCGCCAGTGGTGGCAGCTCAAGCAAAGAAGAGATGTCTTGGCAACAACAAGAGAATTGATGCACGTCAACTACATCATAACCAGAATCAGCGAGCAGCAATTAATTCCCGTAATAACGAGAACAAAACGCCGGAACACAACATTTCGGATCCGTTCGGTAATTATGTTGCTACTACCACTAATACCATTGCTCAAACACCGTCTCATAATCAACGCGTGTCTCAACGCATGTCCTTGTCGCAACAAGCTGTTGGCAGTTCTAATGAATTCAAACATCCAAGAAAGACCATGGCATTAGAACGTGATGCCCTTTATGCAATGCACGGTTCTAACCGTGTCTCAAAGAACACAAGCAGTATGCATATCAACAAGCCGTTTCGAGTCTCAACATCGAGAGTAGAGTCAACCGTTCTTCCACACCATCTTCATTCAAACCCACTCGCCGAAGACAACTCTGGTTTATCAAATGAGGGTCGCAACAACGGCAATGAGGAAATGGAATCGGTTGAATTGGATAGGGACCAGGCTATGAAAATGTAAATAACAAGAAAATATGATAGAAAAAAAAACAAAAGCCTCTCTCGCCTATTCATACTCTGAACTAGAGGAAAAGAAATTGAAGACATTTGGAAGGATACACACATGGAATATCAAGAATATTCCAATTAATGGAAATTCAATTTTTTTCTTAATTTCCTTCTATTAGTTCTTGAATTTTCCTTGCTGTTTGTTATCAATTCTTTCCTCTTTTCAGCATTTCCTTTCTTGTACATTTTGTACATTTGTACAGCCATTATATATATATTTTCCTTTTTTTCGCGAAGAGAAAGGAACTTCTAAGAAAAAAAACGCCTTGAATCCCTTCCATATTCTTTATGACTCTACTTCTCGATTTAATTTAAAAAAGACACGAAACACAAAAGTTACGGTTTTTTCTTCTATAGAATGATAATTTTTCTAAACGAAAAATCACCCCATACGATATTATTATATATATACGCTTAGAATATACGGTTAAAGTGTGACAACAACAACTTCTACTATAAATCTATAACAATAACAACGACGACTTATCGACGATAACGACAACACCGACACGGCTTTTTACTTTTCTACGCTTTAAAAAAAATACCCTATTCTACAGATGTTACGGAACTTTTTTCTTTTTTGTAGATTTTTAGATTCGAAAAAAGAAAACGTCTTTAAGACTTTTTCTCTGTAAATTTCTTCTCTGTATAGTTTATTTCCTTTTTTCGTTCTTAAAAGGATTTATAAAGTGCTTTATCTCGCTCTGTTCCTTGGCTTTTTGTTTTTCTCCCTGTGGGAGGGGGGAAAGAGAGAAGACGGGAGAGTTAAATTTCCTTTTTTTTTCTTGTACAGTACAACCTCTATATAAAGTTGGATAATAAACTTTTTTCTATTTTCTTTCTTCTAGTTCTGTTTATATAAAGTGAAATAAATTTTGTTCTAACTACAGTCAAAAAAAAAAAAAAAAAAAAGCATCGAGCTTGTGATGTTGTTTCGGCCTTTCTTGACTACGCGTAAAAAGTTCCGTCTATGTTAGTTTGATTACTGAGACATGATCGTACGATTGCTTATAAATTCGGAGCAACACCGTAATGTCTCACGAATATAATAACTTTAGGAAAGTACTCGTGCACTGATTCCTTATCAAACAATGAACAAACATGGTTGCGTATTTATATTAACTCGCGTGACCATTGTTTGTAAATTGTGTTTGTTCGGAAATTTATCTTGTTTCATATGACAAATAAGGGCATTACGGTTGTTGTATCCAAATGAATTTACACAATCAACCCCGTTTAACCGTAAAACCCCGCTAAACCGAAGATAAGTCCTTACATTGAATTTACCCCGATAAACCGAATTTCCCACCTGTGTCCCGACCCATTTCGGCTTAACGGGGTTCACTATGTATATAATCAACCGAAACTTGATGTCCTCACGTTCTGACTGTTCTTTGTAAGTAGATGATTAAGATAAACAACTTTGCCTAAAAACCTTAATTTAGGAGCCAGGCCCTCGGATATTAAAATATACAATATAATAGAAATTGCCAGACAAAAGTAATACCACTCGCGATGATATTTATACTTTTACCACTAACTGAAATCAAGCTGACTCTTGCTGAAAACCCTTAGCTAACTCGTTCTATACAAGTGTATTCGTTACACGTGCATCGCGTCAAATAACGATTTACTGACGATCATGTAAATCACATGCTCTATTCTACTATTCAACAGAGGCAATTCTACGAATAGTACTCTTTTTTCGTTTATCAGCCGCTCTGAGTAAGAGCACTGTGCATTGACGTATCCGTATGACCAAGAAAAACACTATTATCTTAATAGATTATTTACATTGTCCATTGCAGCCTATCTATCTGGAGTATGTTACTTGGATCTCACTGGATTATCCGAGAGTAAGCACGGTATACGTATTTATCCATTGATTGAATCTTGTGAAGAACAGCAGGCCATGTCGTATGCATCATTCGACAACAACGTCCATCCATGATATGAGACGGTGGCAGCGCTTTCTGAACTTAGTATTTTCCTCTTATTATCTTTCTTCTAGTGTGATGTCGAATGAGTTCCACTAACAACTCTGATAGATTACCCGACGCGATACAATAATAAATTGTTGAATAGACCGCTTAAAGAATTAAAAAGTGATTATAAAGCAACACTTTGCTATGTTAATTATAGTAAAATAAATGTATAAACAAAAACCTGTGCCTGACGTTTTTAACAAAGTTAAGTAGATCGCCATAGATCAATCGTAGCATTATCCGCGTTGTGTCATTATTGAAGGATTGTTACTTAATACAGATTACGTGTCTGTGTAAGATAAAAACAGTGGTAAAAAACCTTTTCCGCCTCAACCGCAAATAGTATACAATAATAATGCTTACCCAAGATGCGTTTCAAAGACATTTGTTTGAGTGATTCTAATACAATAGTTCGACTACGTTTAGGTGCCTTTTCCCAGTTTGCATACCTATAAATACATAATTCTATAAACTTAACTGAAGGAGAAGGTTGAATTGTAATAATAATTTTTACTTGCTACATCATGCCACGATAGATAGAGGCCCTGGTATATAGTTTTTGAATACATATAACCTTTGTCTAGAAAGCTCAGCTGACAGGCATTGAAAATTTCAGTCTAATATTATGTTATTATTATAGTTACCTTCAAAAGCATATAAGCTCTAATTTCACGGTGAAACTTAAAAGCTTGAACTTTGTGCAATAGACAGTATTATCAACAATGTTTTTCATCACCAAGTACACGTCCACCCGTTAACATATAATTGACGGGAACATTATCTTTCCGAAAAATGAATAAGAATACACATTAAATCTTCCTCATGTCGTTGAATCAAAATTGTAGTTATAATAAAGTTCGGAAAACACAACCCGCTATGAACTGCCTGGTTACATTTATACGTTTTTTATTCTGTCGGACAATTTGACGGTGCTAATTATTATTATATATATTGCAATATATTTAATTATAATATAGCATCATTATAATAAGTTTAATTTATTCGGAGTTTATCTACTTATATTTAATTTAGCCGCAACCAATAAAGTTTTTTATACATGTATAAATATTACAAATAATAAAGTAAGATTCAATATGCCGTTGATTTTTTTATATTAATATATTGTAACAGTCTATTAGTCTCATTTAAATTTATTTCCCCTAGCAAAGTAATGCTATGCAACACGGAAGCGTGATGATCGTGCGGAGATGCATGGCTCCGAAAGATGAGCGAATAAACGCAACAAACAAACAAAGAACTTGGAATAAGCATAAAGAAAAGGAAAGTGATATATGAGATATAACCAAACACTTGCCGCAGATTTTTATTACAATTTATCAAATAAACGTAATGTATATTAGAGTAAATTCTATTCAATTAGGTTCTGTAAAATCAACATACTCGGCAAAATAGCAATAAAAATTGCAGCATAAATCAAATCATCACATATTCCCACTTACAACTTAATTGGAGAAAATAAAGGAGTTATACAAAATGTTAATGTATGCGTATAAATATACACAATATTTACAATAGCAAGCATGTTAATATATTGTCTTAATCATATATTTAATACCGGGGATATATTATATATTGTTCTGTTGTATCCGGGGTTAGGTGGCTGAGTAATTGTAATCACGTCTATGGCTGGATCACAAAACGTTGGGAGAAAACCAACATTAATAGCAAATGTAATAACAGTAGATTAGTGAAAATCGAAAAGACAACAATTACGACAGCAACAAAAGACCAAACGGGCAAACGTAACAAAATTAATTGCCAGGTAATCATCAGTCTGTATATGAAATACGCAAATTTGACATTTATTGAATCGCTCAATCTTTCTTTGCATCTCTCGGTTATTTTTGTACAATTTTACTATTCATGTTCTTCCCCCCTTCTTTCTCCCTCTTTCTCGTAAATATCGTTTCCCATCCCCACACGTAACATCTTCTGTCGATCATTTCCAATTTAATCCAGACACACATTGCATAAATGCGGGGATGTTGCTTTGCTTCGGAAACAAAGAAACAGGTTTGTGCATGTGAGTCTGGTGTAATGGACGTTTTACAAATAAGGATGAGAGTGATGAAAGAAAAATGTATCTGTGCTGCTGGGAAACGTAGGTAGAGTGTTTTTATGGAAAGTACGCATAGACACTTCTCTATTTCGGTGATGTGAAACTTTGCTGGTTTTGAGGGCTGAGGTGAAGTGGGCATTTACTTAACTATCGCCTTTTTTTTTCAAAAATTTTTTGTGGTTATACAAGGCTGGAGAGGCGAATTCCTATGACCCAAAATTTTTCAAAGGTTAATTAATGTTTTGATCTTATAATATATGCTGATAAAAAAAAATAAAATTTTTTAACAAATGACGAAATTTTGAAAGAAAAAAAATTATTTTTTTTTTCATCCATTTCTTTGTTATCGTTTAAATAACCCGAAACGACAAGCCGAAAAGTAACTCCGTTCACGTAATTGGAATTTACCCCTCTTTCCATCATTTATCGTTGCTGCTGTTAATGATACGTACGTAAAACAGAATGTCATCTCATAGTCGTACTCTGAAAGATTTATATATATCTATAGATAATATTTTTACAACCTTTATACAGACTGTGTATTTATATTAGGAATACTGCATTTCCAAATTAACACTAGTTCAGCTTGACATGCAGCAATTGTGATTTAATTTGGCTTATATATAAACCGCCCCCCGTTACGGGAGAGAAAAAAGTTAAAACCTATTTTCTTAACACAAATGTTTTAAAGGGAGGGAAATTGTTATAATCGTCTCATGATGCAGTTATGTTACTATAACGAACACCATTTTATCGAAGAGTTGTCACCGAATTATTTAATTAATCGTTCTTGAGGTTACATAAAACCGGCATTTGGATATAATTAATATGTGCCTGATTCACTGTTCGTAAATATTGTGTAGAGAGCATCTTATTGTCTTTATGGGACGACATGCAAAAATTGTTCACGTACGGAAATGGACGAAACATTTGACCAGCGTACTAAGATAGCTTGATCAGCTTTCAGATAATTTTGTACAATCTTTTCTCTCTATACAATCGGATCCAAAACTTGCCACGCAGTGTGATTGACATTAAGAATCAAATGCCATTTTATTATTAATAAAAAAAGAGGGGAGGGGGGGGTATGTCAAAACGAAGAGTGGCTCATTGTCTTCAACTAATAACAGCACGTGCAAAATGCACATTACTGCCAAAACAACTCTTAATGAGAAATACAATTTACATTTTGTTGATTAGAAAAAGACTGTGAATGCCTCATCTTTCTATCTATTGTTGCCAAAGACTTATTCCTAGCTACCATATTTGTAATTATAACCATATTTAGGTGTCAATATTAGTGAATAAGAAGATAATTATAATTACCATAGAATTTTGTATTCCCTAAGCCGTACTGTACTGTTCAAAAAGTAGGGCTTTGGAAAAAACATTACAATTATAAGGAAAATAAAATCTCGGTTACCAATGTTCGAGAACAAGAAAGGATGGTTTATAGGCACTATAAAATTTAGTATTTCCTAGGCCATGCCACCGGTACTAAAAATGTTTATGTTAATGACAGGATCTAAGAGAAAATTATTAGTTGTAGGGGAGTTTGTATACGGGTTAGACTGGGGGGTTGAAAGAAGATTAGACGTGTAAGGGAAATTAAGACCAGAGTCAGAGGATGAGAAAGGAAAATTCGTATACCCTAAACCATGCCGGTTAAAGTATGGCCTTGAAAGAAAATTATGTGTGTAAGGGAAATTAAAACCTCTGTGACCAAGGTTAGAGAATAAGAAAGGATGACTATAACCGCTATAAAAGTTTGTACTCCTTAAGCCGTATTGGTTAAAGTATGGCCTTGAAATAAAATTATATTTGTGAGGAAAATTAAAACCTCTGTAACCAAGGTTAGAGAATAAGAAAGGATGATTATAATCACCATAAAAGTTTGTATTCCTTAAGCCGTGTTGGTAAAAAGGCCTTGAAATAAAATTATTTTTGTAAGGAAAGATGTAATGATTAAAGGTAGGAAAGCGTCCGTAGTTGTAATAGTTAGGACGGGTTGCGTATGTAGGGAAAAGGTTTTGATGAGATGGAGTAGATTGAGCGAGAGCGTTCACCAAGTTTTGGGTGAAAAACGAATCAATATTAAAGCCGTCTTTGTTTTCATTATCAGTGCCGTCCACATTAATAATGTTAATATTGCCAGTTTTGACCACGTCTCCATTATTTATGAGATCGCCAGCCCTATTGAAGTTTGCACCTTTGAAGTAGTTGGCGTTGTAGATTCTCCTAAAACAATTGGTGCAAGCCCATTGATGTATACTATTGTCTTGTTTGCTGCCTTTGTTGAAAGCACCACCAGCCGAGACGGTCGCAATGGTAAATATAGACAGCAGAACCAGGAAAGCCAACAGTATCTTCATTGTCACGTTTGAACGGCGACAGTGACGTCGAATTTATTTATCGAAAATTGTTTTTTTAATCGGGAAAAAAAGAGGGAGAAGGAAGAAGGTGTGTTTTATAATTCAGCGTCATGGTTTAATGTGGGAATCGAGGTGATTCTGGAGCAAATTTTGATAACGTGTTCATTTCTTTTATCTATTTAATCGAATCTGTCGAGTTAGCCTTCATTTTCGTAAATAAAAAATAATTGTGCGCATGGCTTTTTCAGGATGTAATTTCGGAGAACTAACATGCATCATCGATGGTAAGAATGAGTCATTCTTGGTATATAAAACGAGAGAGTCTTTCTAATTCGCACGGCGCATAATTTGATACTTTTTTCGTAGTGATTATTAATGATTCAGTTCATTGATTATTTATCTTTGTGCTTTTGGCTAGGTCACTATATTAATAGACGAGGCACATGACATGGTGGACTGATTAATTGACATGGATGACGAATTCACAGAAGCATCATAATAGTACGTCCGAGACACCCTACAAGTTAAAGCCATTGATGATTGATACTCTTGGCCCCATGCACAAGATCTACTATCGATAAAGTATTCTGATTACCCGGTTCCGTAAGAAATGTTGATAGATTACCGAAGGCTTTTATCGACGGTAAAACGCTATTGAGTATAAACTCTGGAAGTGAAAAGTTGTACAAAAGCGTTTATTATGAGTGTCTGATATACTTAATGTACACTGGTCAGTGTTCGGCGAGTCATTACTTTACCAACTCTAGGCATAAAAGCATGTTTATTTGATAGGGATAAATATGTTGTATAAATGGCTTAAAGCTTTTATCTGAACCTGCGTCGACAATTCTTTCCTAACCCATGCTGATTAGTATCAACCCTTGGGCCTTTTCTTCGAATTTTGGTACGCAGGTCGTTGTTCTATAAAACTGCTTAGTGAAATTTATCTAAAAAGTTGCAGCAATACAAATATTTATCGAGTTGCGTATATTAATACAGTCTATTGATGTTCAAATTAAAACTAGAACACTTTTAACTGATATAAAAATCAACTATGAGCGATGACACCTTTGTGACCACAAAAGGGTGGTCTAATAAACCATGATAATATTCATCTCGCTAAATGTGTGCAGTTATTGTCGACCTTCACGTGACCAGAACACATGTCTTTGTTTAATAATATATTACAGTGAACCCTCTCTAATATCCACCCCGTTAATATCAACCCCTCTCTATTGGCAACTGTGGTTACAGAACGGATTTCCCCATATCGATATTTAAATTCTCCCGCTTTGGCCGTTGATATCCCTATCAACACATATCAGATTTTATTCCTAATTAAATGTACCTCGCTGATATCAACATCAATATAAATTAGTATTTTAAAATTTAAAATTCTGATCTACAATATCACGTATTTATTACATAATGTCTCTTTATAATACGATTTGCGTATTAAAGTATAAACATACTCCACACGTCTAATTCTGATAGTTGTAATGAAGGCAGCGACATTAAAATTCTCATTCTTTGCCATTGGAACAATGCAAATTACTTCTGCAGTATGTAGAACAGCAAGACCCCGCCAAATTCGTAGAACAGCAAGACATGCCAAGATTGCAAAGTCCGTTGAGACGCATTCAATCGAATATATACGAGGCGAGGCAACAAAAAAAGGTAACAGATTTTTTCATCAAAGAGAGAGAGAACCACAATTCATAAGAGATGAACAATTGGTTTAGTTTATATGGAGAAAGAAATAAAGAGATTTTTATTATAAATAAAGTTTTAAGATTTAATTCGAGAAATTATCGTATATGGGCAGAACCAGACAAAATGTCAAAATGGCTGATGTGGCTGGCAAATGAACTAATTTAATGAACCAATTTAGCTGATAAAATTTTGGTGAGGCTTTGTCCGATTTATAACCGTGGCTCATGCACAAATTAAATTTTTAGACCTATCATTATTGGTCGATCAGGTTAGAAATTTTTCGTTACCTATAACCAAATCGATTAATCGCATCGTGCTTGGCACGCGAACTTGATAGCGCTCATCATGATGAGTATTTGCAGAAAAGGCAGATATTTATTACAGCAAATTACTACTTATGTGTCCGAGTAAAAGACTATTGAAAGAATCGGTAGAGCATGCTGGAGAAAGAATCTCCAAAGCTCAGTTTAATGAATATATAAGGAGGAGAGGAACTTTCGTCAATGCTAACGTGGCCAATGACGTAATGCTTGAAGAGGGGGATGAATTTAATAATATTCCCCGTCAATTGACAGAAGCTCATTTCCTCTATTCATAACTTTTGAGAAATTTATGCGGATGCTTCAAGGAACATACGGAATAGATTTGCAGAAGCTGACCGTTAGACCAGAGTTGGATACAGGTGATGAAGACGATGTGGAAGGATCTCGACGAAGGTTGCCTTTCATCAAAAAGGAGCATTTCGTAAACTATAATCTCTTTCGGAAAAGATATTGGGATCATTTCGATCATGATAGTAAACGAAACTTGGACTGCGGACTAGTTTACTCCGAGTTTGCTGTCATCAAAGTCTGTAACTGTATATTAAAAAATCGGTTCTTCGAACGCTGTGTTTATATTTAGTCTTATTCAGGGCACGGATCCAGTGGGTCATTTATCAAGAGAAGAGTATCAAGCTATTAGCACTAAAAATTATCCAGCATCCGTAATCAGGTTTATGATTTGTTTCTGCAATACGAAAGAAGAAAGCACGCAATGGTGATCATGACTCGATAGGTCGGTAAGGCCCAGATAACTTGTGCAAAAAGAAATACCATTTAGGATAGAATTTCACAAATTTTCAATCCATCTTCCGTAGGACATTGGCTATTTTGCGTTGTGCCAGAAAGGCAGCACTTGGCGGCCCACACATTCATGAAGTATACATTGATGAATGTCAAGACAATAATATTTCCGATTTTGCGCTTATTTTAGAAATCTTCGATTGTGTCGACAGAATTTTTTTGGCTGGAGATATAGCACAATGTATTGCCGCAGGATCTTCATTCCGCTTTCAGGGTACGCGCAGAAAATCAAAAAGATCTTGTCTGTCTTTAACGTTGCGAGAATGTCTTATCGTCTATCTTTTTAATGCAGACATGCGTTCCTTGATGTATAAATAGGAATGTGAACGTTTTGAAAAATACAAATTGTGTGGTGTCACAAAGCCAACACAGTTTGAACTGAATGTCAATTATCGTTCCCACAACGGAATACTTCAACTTGCAGCATCGATTGTTGACATCACACACCATTTTTTCCCTGATTGTATCGATAGTTTGAAACCTGAGACTAGCGAAGTTGGTGGTCCGCGCCCCGTAGTTTTCGGCGACTTTCGGGCTAAAGCTTATTTCGATGGCTTGTCCACGAACGAGGGTACAAGCAATATCGAATTTTGGCGCCCAACAAGTCATCATTGTGCGCAACGATGAAACCAAATTACATGTGAAAGAACAAATTCGCGATGCGGGATTGGTAATGACAATATTCGAAACAAAAGGCATGGGCGATGTGCTTTTATTTAATTTCTTCACTGATTTATCGAGGTAAATTGTTTGTTTTTACATCATCTTATTGAATTTATTTGGATCGTATTTGTAAAAACATCAATCTATTACAGTGGCGTGTTGTTCCTCCTGCTTTAAGTG